AAGTGACTGCCCTGGTCACTCCTTCTAGCTTACACAGAGCCCGTGCGGGAGGAAAGACAGGAGGGAGTCAGAATGGGAACTCTGACTCCCATCAGCCTAAACCATTGGACCCCAGGGAAGTCACCCTCCTGCAGCTAAAAGGTAGGAAACAGAAAGACTGAGACATTTTGCATGTGTGTGTGTTTCTGCATGTGTGTGTATATGTATATGTGTGTGTGTGTCTCTATGTGTGTATGTGTGTTTCTCTGTATGTATGTGTGTGTGTGTCTCTGTATGTGTGTGTGTGTCTATGTGTGTATGTGTGTGTGTATCTGTATGTGTGTCTCTGTATATGTGTGTGTCTCTGTATGTGTGTGTATGTGTGTTTCTGTGTGTGTGTGTGTCTGTATATATGTGTGTGTGTGTGTCTGTATGTGTGTGTGTCTCTGTATATGTGTGTGTGTGTCTCTGTATATGTGTGTGTCTCTGTATGTATGTGTGTGTGTGTATGTGTCTCTGTATATGTGTGTGTGTCTCTGTATATGTGTATGTGTGTGTCTCTGTATGTGTGTATATTTATGTGTGTGTCTGTGTGTATGTCTCTGTATGTGTGCATGTGTGTGTGTTTCTGTATGTATGTGTTTGTGTATCTGTGTGTATGTGTGTCTGCATGTGTATCTGTTTGTCTGCATATCTGTATATCTGCATATCTATATGTCAGTGTGTGCCCTGTGTATCTGTATGTGTGTCACTGTTTGTATCTGTATGAGTGTTTTCTGTGTATTTTAATGTTTATCCTAAAGTGTTTGTGTATCTGTCTGTATGTGTGTCTGTGTATTCACATGTGTGTCTCTGTATCTTTATTTGTGTCAGTGTTTGTATCAAAAGAGTGTCATTCTGTGTATCTCAAAGTGTGTAATTCTGTGTGTCTGTGTATCTGAGTATATATATGTGTTTGTGCATCTGTGTGTTAGTTTGTGTGTCACATCATGCCATGTTCTGCGGATCAGTCTGGTGATGGCTTCTGGTATCGAGTACTCTTTTTACAATTCTTGTTTAGTTTTTCTTGGTTTTTCTGGTTTTCTATTCCATGTCTGGTTTTCTTTATGCTGGGTTTTTCTGGGTTCATTCCTTTAATCTGTCCCTGGAATTCCCAGTCTCTTGGATTCGTTTAAATGTTTGTTTCATTTGCCACACCCGTTTGTTTTCCATCATTCCTTTTGTTTCAGTGTTCCTGCAGGCAGCTGCTCAAGTCTTCTGCCCTTTCTTGCAGGTAAGTACTATGCGTGTTTTCTTTGGTTGGTTTAGCTTACATTATGCAGAGTAGGACCTGCCAGATATGGGGTACATTGGCGTTGTTGGCAGGCTTATGCAATGTATGATTGCAATGTATGAATCTTAGTTATTTCTCCTCTTGTTTTGCCTATCATATCTTGTCTTGTTTTAGTTTGTATTCCCAGTCCATGTACAGTCCTGTCCTGCTCCTGTTTAGTTAATGTTCCCTTATGTATTGTGTACATGTTCTGGGTTTAGCTTCCTCTCCTTCTCTGGTTCTGGGTTCTACTAGTTCTGTCTTGTTTTCATGTTTGGTGACTATCCTAGCCTTGCCTTGTTTCTGTACTGGATACATTCTTGCTGCAGAGCCTCCCTATTCAGCTCATGGGAGGTCTGCTTACTTTCAAGCTTCAAGTTCCTGGGATCCGCTGTAGCTGCATCAGGGTTCTGGTATGTGGCCGCACAAACGCTGATGCTCTACACCAGAGGGTGTGTGGTTGCCCTGCACCAGGCCCTGATAAATCCACTTCCACACTGTGATTCCTACTCTGAACATCAGGCATACTAGGTCCCGTTCCTCTCACCGCCGCCTGTACAGTGTCTGGATCCCGGGCACCTGACCGCCACCCGTGACAGTGTGTCTGCATTTGCGTGTGTATGTGTGTCTGTGTATCAGCATGTGTGTCTGTGTATGTGTTTGTATGTTTTATATGGTGTATATCTGCATGTGTGTCAGTGTCTGTTTGTATGAATAAGACACATTGAAGGGTGTGGGAAGAGAGTGAGACATATGGGGGGAGGCCCAGGCAATTTTTGCACGGGACACCATGGTTTTTAGTTACGCCTCTGTTTATCATGGTTTATGAGAAGATCATAAATAAAATGCTTTGATTTGTTTATTGATTTCCTTCAAGAAAGCATGTGACTGCTACATACTATAGAACAGTACTTTTTATGTGATGCATGTAAGCATGAAGAAATTATACTTGACTAGGAAACATTTATTACCTGTAATGTTACCTGTACGTCTTTATTATTTAATCTCCTTACCATTTCCTCCGTCAGTTTCCTCCACTCAACTGCATCCTATTCTTACCTATCACGTACATGTATGTCTTTGGCCCTGTTTGACGTCTACATAATTTTTTATATTTCACGTTTTCCTTCATTTCTTGTTGCTAAATCTGATGATCTTTTAATATACATAAACAATCCTAAATTTGCTTTCAAAGCCAGAGTGGTAGTGTTTAGTTGTTAAGAGAAAGCTTGTAAATTTGAACTAATTAATCTCTTTTTTGTGACCCAGTGTTATCTTATACCCCGAGGTAAGTATTTACATATTTCCGTTCTAAGAGTAAGAAGAATGTTTTTTCTTATTGTAATATTTCACGCTTTGTGATTTGCTTGACAACATCTCCTTGATCAAAAGAGTTCTATGGAATTCCTAAGTGAGATAAAAGGTAGATGAAAGAAGCATGCTCCAGGGACAGAGACATTTATAGGATTATTCACTAAACTGTTAAATTGTCAATTAAGTAATCACACATTTTAGGAAAATAAAGCCTAAATAAAATGCCTAATAAAGTCAAAATGTAAATAATTATCAAAAATAGTTCACTTATAATTCAACTATTTTGGCGTTAAATGTTGAGTTCACTAGATAATTTATAGCAGTTGTTGGTTTAGTTAATAATAATACTCCCAGATAATTTTGTTCAGCTCAAATAAATTACACATTTATATAGCTTTGTCTCCCAGGCCATATCAATTATAAATTATTTTATTTATGTATTTTTTTATTATTTACATTTTATTATTAACTGTTATTGTGCATATATTTCTAATACATTGTCTATGCAATATATTTAAAAATGAATTATCTATGTTTTCAGACTTCAACTTCCAGATCAGAAGTGGTGCCATGCTGATGAGACCCACAAGGTCAAAATTGCCACCCATGGATGGTTTCTGTGGGATAGTTGTAGAATCATGATTTCTTGATGTTCTATGGCTAAGAAAGGCATCTCAAAGTCAAACTTGAGATATGCAGGTGATGCATACAAGTAATTCTTTGCAATGTTGAGAGTTGTATCATGCTTGAATATATAAAACGTACACATGGATGGGCAAAGTCAAAAACATGATGTTATCAGCTGTATATATATATATATATATATATATATATATATATATAATTCCACCCCCACCCCACCTTCCTGTGTGATATATATATTTTGTGTATTCCTCATTCTCAGGTTCAGAGACCTTTGAGTCTGAGGGTTCTGCACAATATCTTAGCTATTCCTAGAACTGTACTCTCCTAGACAGCAATTTAAAGATATTACACCTGGAATCGATTGAAGCCACACCCCCAACTTTGGGGGTCACAGCCTCTATTGCTCCTATCACAAGTGAAACTACTAATGCCTTCACTTTCCACATCATTTCTAGCTCCTCTTCCAGTCATTAGTATTTGTCCACCTTCTCATGTTACTTCTTCCTGAAGTTATAGTCACTGGGTATTGTCACAGCTACCACCACTGAACTCTTCCGTTCCTTGTCAACCACCACGATGTCCGGTTGGCTGGCCAGTACTTGCTTGTCTGTCGGTATCTGAAACTTCCACAGAATCATAGCTCTGCTATTCTCAACTACCCCTGTGGTATCTCCCATCTGGACTTAGGCAGGTCCAGCCCATATTTGGTGCAGATATTCCGGTTTACATTGCTAGCAACTTGATTGTGCCTCTCAGTGTATGCTGTTCCTGCTAACACCTTGCACCCAAGTACTATGTATTGGATTGTCTCAGGGGCCTCTTTGCTCAGTCTGCACCTTGGGTCCTGCCAGGGCTGTCAATCTTTGCTAAGCTGTTTCCAGTGCCTCTGGTATGGGCATATACTTGTATTTCCTCAGTGACCAGAATTTATCATGGCCTATGTTTTGTGTAGTCCATCTAATTCCAGTTACGACACTACCTTCCTCTTGACAATGTTCAAACATTATGTAACCATATGTTTTGGTGCTTGGTTAGATGAAGGTTTCTTGTTCATCCATAGTTCCCACATACATATCATGTATCCCCTCTCATTGGTTCTGCTGTTGTAGTTTATATATTTATAAGCTTAAAACATGATGTTTTTGACTTTACCCATCTATGGTGTGTGTGTTTTTTTGTAATTCAAGTACAGTTACTGATTTGATTTGCCATATAAATGTGAAATGTGCTGAAATTAAAAAGTAGCATAATAATACATGTTTATTGTTTGTAAAGAAGCATTTATTGTCTAGGAAATTAGTTACAGTATATACTCGAGTATAAGTCTAGTTTTTCAGCACATTTTTTGTGCTTAAAAACCCCCACTCGACTTATACTCGAGTCACTGTCTGTATTATGGCAACTTAGAGAGCCGCGGCCGTCAGAGCCATGGCAACGATCCGCGCGGCAACCAGACCGCGAGACTTACAGTGGAGCTGACCGGAACGGAGGAGAAGGGAGCTGACAGGAGCTGCAGGAAAGGTAAGTAAATGCTTCCTGCCGGCCCCCCCACTTCACAGCCCATGCCACTGGACCACCAGCGAATAATATAGCCCCCCTCCCTGACCAGTTAACAAGCAGGGAGGGGGGACAAAAAAAAAATAATAATAAAAAAATAATAATATTAAAATAAAATAAAAATTAAATAATAAAAATGCCCTCCCCCCACCTAGTTCACACACACTACACAAACACACACTCTGCATTATAAATACACACACTCTGCATTATATACATACTCTGCATTATATACACAGAGTGTGTGTATATAATGCAGAGTGTGTGTTTGTATGAGTGTGTGTGTATATAATGCAGAGTGTGTATTTGTATGAGTGTGTGTGTGTATATAATGCAGATTGTTTGTATGAGTGTGTGTATATATAATGCAGAGTGTTTTTTTTGTATGTGTGTGTGTATATAATTATAAAAATCACAGACTTTCATAGCCCCAAGTTTTACCCTCGACTTATCCATGAGGCATAGCATATTTCACAATTGTTGGTCACAAAACTGCACTCGACTTATACATGAGATCGACTTATACACGAGTATATACGGTACTTCAATTAAAGGGTTTCTCCAACCCTTTTTTATTTATAATAGAATAAGGCCCTATTGGCATTAATCTATCAGTCCCCCCGTCACCACCAAAAATGCTCGAAGACCTTTTTTTTTTAAAGAAATGTAACTTACCTTTATCCAGTGCCAGACAAAGCTCTCCAGCGCTGCTTGGCACATCCCCGTCTGATGTCACATGAGCCACACCTAGGCCCAATCAAAGACTAACTATAGAGAAGCCTTTGATTGGACCATTTTACCAGCTCAGGGTGCATACTCACACTCTGAGCCAATGAAGGGAGTGGGACAGACAGGCTCTGCCTGCAAGTGAAAGTTATGTCTGTCGCTGGTGCGCAGTGCGAGCTGATGGTGGATATATTTTATGCACAGAATTGACATTAGGCAGACTAGAACAGAGTTCTGGCCTCTTTATGTTATGGTCCCTCTTCTTTACCAATAAACAGCATACTGCTAATACTTGTGGGGAACTCAAAAAAGCATAGCTGTCACATTCTGCACAGCCAGGTATTCATTGTGATCCCACCATGCTAACTAAATAATAGAGGGGTGGGGTGTTTTTTTTTTTTTTTAGTTGTTGTGTTTTTTTGTTGTTGTTTTGGTGGATACTGTGTTGCTTGGGATCATGAGGTACCATTAGCCTAAGCAGCAATGGGTGGCTGTGATTGGCTGACAGTCAACTGACCCCTTGCAGGTTATCAGAGTGCTCACTGCTGGTATGATCTAATATGGCTGTAAGGAAGTGTGTGATCTTTTCCTTAGCCATACTTTCAGTAGGGGCCAGGTTGTGGGTGGCCAGTAACACTTATTTACTGTTAAACTGCTCAAAACATAGCACTGAATGGAGGGACAGTGCCAGAGGGCATCATAATCCAATCAATTTAATGAAATGAAATGGTTTTCATGCCTATAATTTCCCTTTAAATACAATTATTGCATTCAGAAGGATGTCATTTGTTTTTTACAATTCTTTCAATTCCAAATCACTGCAGAAGATATTAAGATAAAAAGTGATTGACCGTGCTAAAATATCTTATTGCTCAATGAAAACTCTTCTTTTTGTCGAATAGGATACTTTCTTAATACTATATGTCTCACCCCTAGATTTTTATGCAATTCAAGGAATATTATAGGTGAATTTTCACCACCTTTCAGATCTACATAGGGACATAAGGGTATTAGACATTATTGAAAACAGTAATGATGAGTGTCACAAAAAGCAAATTGACCAATCTGACAACCTTTCTTCTTTGAAACAAGATTATAAGCTTATTAGATTGCTAGGAAAACGTAGGATTCAGAGGGCTGGAGTAATGTCGTCCTAAGGGACTGGAATAAGTGAGCAACTGAATTCATACTTTAAAGATGTATCTGCATTGACTATTGATATAAATTTGGCCATAGACAGAACCCACTGGCTGTTGAATACTAAAGCATTTTCTTATTCTATGTAATATTAATAATGCATTTTATTTTACATCAAGCAGTAACATGTTTATACTGTTATTAACACTAAGAAAACTTGACATTGCTTATTATGACAGTTTGTACCATCTCCTATATATGAAGTTTCCCACTGAAATTGATTCTATGCACATATGGTGAAGGGGTCTTGATGTACTTAATATATATCGCCTGGATGAGCCACAAATAATGCACTTTGTGTCAGTGGTGTTCTGTATTCACTATAACACACACACACATACTACAATAATATGAGTTACAGTGATACAAATATTTTAGATAATTATTTATTCAAAATGTAATTGATAGAAAATGCTATGCTTCATATTTAACAGAAAAAAGTTATTTACATTTCACACTCCATGTACTATACATAGGTCCATTTAGACTGGAAGAAACGAGATTTAATCTAAGGCAAAGAAAAGGTTTTATTAGAGTAAGAACAAAGATGTGGAATTCTCGCCTGAAGAAGTGGTTTTATCAGAGTCCATACAGATATTTAGACAGAAATTGGATAAATACTTGAAAAAATATAAAGGGATATTATTTCTAATTAGTAGGGAAATAACTGCTTGATCCAAGAAGATATCTGACTGCCATTTTGGGGTCAAGAAGGATTTTTTTCCTAATTTGTTGCAAAATTGGAAGCACTTCAGACTGGATTTGTTTGCCTTCTTTTGGATCAACAGCAAAAACATATGTGAGGAAGGCTGAACTTGATGAACACAACTTTCCTTTCAGCTATGTAACTATGTATTAAAATCCCAATCAGCAGAATTTGAGAAAATTGTGACAAGTTCAAATAAATATCTCTGAAAAATGGCAGGGATTGAAATTAATTTAAATGACTCAAAGAAGACATTTCCTCTTAAAGTGAGGAATAGAAAAGATAAGTATATGTTATTTGTTGTCAAAACATTTCACTTGAAGGAACAATCCTAAAGCATATTCTTCAATTTATGTCACTTGCTGTTCAGAGCTGCTTTAAGACACATAACTCATAAATTTTCATATGTAGCTTGAGAAACAAAAAAGGCAGACACTGTTGCCTATGTTTTAATGGCTTCAATTAGAAATAAATGCATGGGTTTAAAACATTTTTATGATAATGGGCTGTAGACTATTAGAGCCGTAATGAAAATATGTAGATGTTATAGTATTTGTGCATATATACATTTTGTTCTCTGTTTGATTGTCCAATAACTCTATTTTATGCTTATTCCAAAACAGCAAATATGCTTACTTATGATGCTTGATAGGAGTTTTCAAATCTGAGTGCTGATAGGCAGAGCTCCAACATGCTAAGACATAATTCATAGAAATGGACAGGGAAGATTCTTAACAGCATAATCTTAAAATAGAGCATCACAGCAGTTAATTTGAATGAATAACAAGCTAAAATTGAAACTTTTCCTAGTCAAATTGCATTTTTTTACATCACAACTTACATGTGGAACGTAATGTACCTATACGTTTTGTAGTTTTGTTTACCCAGATATGAAATGCTATTTTCAATCCCCTTTTCATACAGTCAATAGCTCCAAAATAAAGAGGCAAAGTATATTTTCATAAAAGGGACACTAAAGGCACTCATACCACTTCAGCTCATTGAAGTGGTCTGGGTGCAGTCCCTATTGCACTTAGTACTGCAATGTTAAACATTGCAGTTCCAGAGAAACTGCAATGTTTATTTAACAGCAATAAGTCTGCCTCCAGGCGCTTACTGCATCCAAACGGACCTTCTGTCTGGTATCTTGCACTGGATGTCCTCATGCTTTGCACAAGGACATCCACTGTCAGATTTTTGATTCAATACTTTCCTATAGGGAGGTCTAATGCACATGCCTTAGCGCCTGCTCATTATGGGACGGAGGAGGAAGCAAAGCTACAACCCAGTGCCGAGGGACATTGGTGCAGGGATAAGGGGGGGATGCGAGGGAGGCAGGGAGGCAACTGGGCGGAGGGACGCGAAGAAGATTGGAGGGCAGAGGGAGCTATAGTGCCAGGATACAGCTTTGTATTTCTGGCACTTATAGTATCCCTTTAAAGGGTTACTAGAACACTTTTGAGAAGGGGACCTTGCTGGTGTATTATGCCCTATTGGCCATTATGGAGAATGTCCCCCCTTTCAATTTACAGTATAAGCTACAAAAAAGATTTTACTCACCTGGATTCCAGTGGTGGTTGAAGCTCCCTGCGCTGATCTTCTCTGCCACCACAGAGGTCATTGGGGCCACGCAGGGTCCAATCACAGACTTCTTATAGATTGGACCATTATTCTGGCTCAGAGCTCATGCACACCCTCTGGACAGATGAGAGCATGGAGTGGAGAGAAGAGGGTATTTAAAAAAAAAAACGGAGGAACACGGAAGTGAGCACAGTGTCGTAGAGAGTATAGGAGGGGAGAGCTAGCTTTCCCTTGCAGGCGCTCTGCCTGCATTGGTGAAAATTATTATGTTTTTTAGACATGTGCAATATGTTTCATTTCGAATATGAATTTAGACGAATTTTGGGCAATTTGGATATTCAGATGCTTCTGATTGTCTGAATTGCAGAATTTCCGAATTGCAGAATTTCCGAAGTGCTGAACTGAACAGAATTGCCAAAGTGCTTTGGATTTCTGAAAAGTGGCAAAACAAGAGAGGGAGGGAAAATTATGTGAATGATGACAGGGGTAGGGTTAGGGTTAGGGGTAAGGTTAGGGGTAGGGTTAGGGAACCCTACAAATGTCCCTAACATCCCAAATGTTTGTTGCCAGTCTAAAAAATAGTAGTAGCAAGGCTTAAAGATAAACACCTAGAGCAATCAGTTACAGTATACTCCAAGTTAACCTGGTATTTTACCTGGGATTCTGACAGCAAAAATGTTGATATTAACCTGTCACTATTCAAGTGAACTATCTTAGATATTTCCCTCTGTAGGAAGAGAGAAGTGAGCCATATGTTAGATAATAGCTTTAGAAAATTACATAATTTCTTAAATTTTTTTTTTCAAATTCTCACTGTCTACCTGGCTCTCAAGCCATTATCCCTCTTTTTTTAAAAATAGTTATATAGAGAGTTTTATATAGAGGCCACCTGTTTTGGACCTAGTTATTTAACTATTTCCTGAGATATAGAATGGTAGCTTTGATTATTTTTTTTTATTTTTTTTAAGAAATGATGTAATTGTGGTATTAATATAATTAATGGTGATAATTTTCTCTGGAGTCTGGTCTTGTTTTTGAGGATTGTCTCTATTAGATTTTG